TTCACTCCTGAAAACTGTGTTTGTGTGGGTGCATAAAAGTAATTGGAATAATGACTTCGTGGGCCTGGTGTCACAAGGGGCAGGAGAGGACAGGGAGCTTTCCAGCCAGGCTTTTGTCACGTCCACCCGGCTTCACAAAATGACCGTCCTTTCTAGCCACAATGTCAAGATGCAGCTAGCCTAGCCGCCGGGTCTGTCGCTTCTTGGAAAGAAGTAGGTGGGAGAGTAGCTGTTTGGCAGCAAGGCACAGTGAGATGAGATGGGAAAGCCAAAGGAAAGTGGGAAGGGTGAAAAATAATCTCACTGCAGTAACTACCACCCCTAAGTGTGTATTAATGGGCCAATAAAGTATGCCCTGGAAAGTCTTAATACTACAATATTAAACTCTCTGCACCAAGAAAAGCAAAGATGGCACATTATAACAAAGAGAGTTTGGGTTATGAGTTGTTGGTTTTCTGCTTCTTGCTAGTGTTCTGGTTTTTAGCTTTGCTCACTTGGTTGTATTTTCCTTTAAAGGGCAGCAAGCTACAGAGACTATTTTCCAACCAAAGTGCAATGCTGCCCCCTGCTGATGTATTCCTGTAAGAGCACCCGTGGAAACCAAAAAGCATCGTCCAAGGCAAACTTGCCTGCAGTTCTGCCTAGATTTCAGTTTGCCATCTTTTCATCCTTCAAAGTGCAAGTATTTCATCTTTAAAGATTCTCTGCACAGAGATATTTTCTAGCTCAGCCCAGTTCGTGCCACTGATCAACATACCGTTTTACCCTAAAATATGAACTCTGCTGATTACAAAACAAGCGGTGGTGTTGAGTGGATTTCTCCCCCTTTGGCTTATAAATTAAGCTAGCTCCCCAGAGAAAACTTAGAAATCAGGCCTGTTTCATATAACCTTTAGAATCCTGATTGCAATTCTCACTGAAAGACATTTACTGAGAACTCAAGCTCAAGGAAATCAATGCCTGGGTCTGACAGATATTCAACCCCCAGACAAGTATATTTGATTTCAGATCATCCTTCAATCTTTGAACCGAACAAACCCGAGGACCAAAATCTCTGAAAATAACAATGCAGGTGGCACACCGCACTCTCAGAAGCTGGCTTCCTAAATTGCATGAAAGCACACCTGCTAGCTTAGAGAAAATTCTGTAATATGAAAACACTGGGGGAGAGCTTGACTGGAAAGTGGCCACTTGCCATTGTCATGATTAGCTAAGCCATTCAAATACATGATCCACTTTTCCTCAAACCATGAACCCAATCACCTGCATCTGAATTACCTGGGAGTGTGTTAAAAATGCAAATTCTTGGGTGTAATTCTGATCTATTGAATCAGAAACTCTGGGTTTAGGAGCAAGAAGTCTGTGTTTTACCAAGCTCCTCCAGAAAGTCCGTGCAAACTAAGTTTGACGACCCTTGAGAGATATTTAATAAAAAATTTAATTCCCATTACGAAGACTTTCCTATTCAGAAATTCTCCAACACTATAAAATTACAACATAACAAAACACACATACATGTATGTGTGTGTGTGTGTGTGTGTGTGTGTGTGTGTGTGTGTATTAATGCTGTTTTTCTTTTCCTTGATTCACTACAAAATTAAAGGCTATCATCTAACAGTGTAAGTTGCTCTCCAGCCAATGAACGGTGATAATGACCAACCAAAATCACAAATACTGTTTGGTAATTGCTGTTGATAATTTCTAATTGTACTTATTACCCCAAAGCCGTTCCTCCAAAAAGCCCCATCAGAGTAGCACTCATTAAGCAGGAGCATTCTCTAAATCAGAGAATAAGACAAGCTTAAGATTTCCACACAGCTTTCTGCCCTCACAGACAAGGACCAAAACAAGTAAAAAAAGAAAAATTCCAAACAACCCACACTTTACAATTTTCCATCCCTTTTGAACTGCATGGCTGGTCCCGGTCCTGCTTCCTGTTCCCCTCCCCCTGGCCATTGTTCTCTGCTTCTCTCTGTCATCATTTGTAGCCACTTATCATCCGTTCCTGTTCCAGGCCATGGTGAGAATGGAGTGTGATCCAGTCTTGCCAACCCCAAGCCGAGACGCCAGCTCCAGCAGGCTGTCTCCATGCAGGCTAAAGTGATTGAATGGGCGCCAGTACCAACAGGTTGTATTTCGTTTTCCCCTTTATTGCTTGACGAAACCACAGGAAGAGAGAGCAAGGGATGAAGAAAGGATTGTGCTTTTGCTAAAAGAATCAGCGCAAGGCTTAAGAGAGTCTACCAGCTCTGCTTGACCATCCGCTCGGCCATCAATCAGTCTTCAGCAGAAAGAAAGAGAGGAACTTACCTCAAACAAAAACTCTCCCTCATAGCCGCACCTCAGGGGGAGCAGGCGAGGTAGAAACCCAAAAATGTGCCTCAAGAGTAAAGCTGATGGCCAAGGGCAACTGCTGCAGGGGAAGGTCTGAAAACAGAAACGGCATTAAGAATAAAACCTCTGATTTATTCTGGAGGAGGAATACATGGACCGTGTCAAGTCTGTTTGTTCTAAGAGGGGGATTGAATATTACAGAGCAGCCTTTAACTTCATACAGAACTTCAATACATCTCTGAAAGTGGGCTCTAAGTCACCAGTGCCCTGCTGACAGCAAAGCGAGGCCTAGAACAAGAATTTACCTCAGAAGTTGGCTCTTAGTGTTATGTTTGGCTGCATGGACAAGCAAATTGCAAATTTAATGATAAAATAGTTTAGGGCAGAGGTTTGCTTTTTTTTCTTTCTTTTTTTTTTTTTCTTTTTAATGAATTACAATAAACATATATAAATTCCAGTGTTCTCGCAGGGGCAGGATTTGAATTCTCCTAAATCAGCTAATATCTTAGTCAATTCTCTTCCATGTGTGTCCGGCCCCTGTCACATCTTAAAATCCATACCACTTTATCTCTCTCCTTAATTGCGCTTTTATGGGTAACTTGCATTTAAAACTAGTTCTCTTTGCCACCTGACCTTTAAAAGGCGATCAGAAAGTAAATCTTTCATTCTGCAAAACTACCACACTTCCATACACATGAAATAAATCACAAAAAGTCCAGTGGAATGGAATTCAATTAATGTTTTTGCTATTTCCAAACCTTTATGGGACTGAAAACAACTGTTCCAAGGGGAAAAACGCATCCAAAAGTGTATCAGTATGGTTTATTTATAAGAACTGATTTTCTAGTCTGCTTTTTCTTATGTTTTTGGGGTAGGCAGAATACTGGCCCCCCAAAGATGGCCACCTCCTAATCCCTGGACCTGGGAATAGCGTACCTAATGTGGCAAAAGGGACTTTGCAGATGTGATTAAATTAAGGATCTTGAGATGCAGGGATTATCCTGGATTTTTCTGGTGGGTCCAGTGTTATCACAGGGTGAAGGCAAGTGAAAGAGGAGGCAGGAGAACCAGAGGCAGAGAAGGAGATGTGGTAATGGAAGCAGAGGTTGAAGTGATACAGCCACTGGCTTTGAAGATGGAAGGAAGTCTCAAGCCAAGGAACGCAGGCAGCCTCTGGAAGCTGGAAAAGGCAAGAAAATGAATTCTCCCCTCAAGTCTCCAGAAGGAACACATGCCGTGAATATGGAATTCCTGATGTGCATATCTACCAGAAGAATGAGAACTTATTTTGTTGCTAAAGACAGAGAAGAGATAAGTGTGTCATATAAGACGGGGAAGGGATGGGAACGCAGGGATATTATCACAGAGCTCATACCTCCCATAGGCCAGGCCCTCACCAAGGGGAACAATCTGAGTGCCTGTTGCCATAGGAAACCCTCCTTTGAACTGGCCTCATAAACACTGTCTTTTTCTAGTCTAGCTCAGGAAGGACAGACTGGGATGCATTACTCCGGTTTGAAAGAACATCAGATACCTTTCTCTTTTATAATCCAGACCCAAGATGCTCCATCAATGTGTAAGTGCTTGCTGATATTTGAAACTGGGAAATACTCTGAGTGTTGTTTTGTTTTGTTTTGTTTTGTTTTTTAAGAGCACTTTGGTCTTTTCCGAACCCCACTGAAATACCAAAATCCAAGATACTTTATCTTTCAGTTTTTCAAGTTTCACTTCCAGAAGAACGTGGGTTTTGTTCTTCTGTTCAATTTCGTTTTCCTGTTTTTTAGATTAACTATATCTTGAGAGCTGGCCAGGAGTAAGTAGAGTGTTTGGAAGGGAGAGGAGGTGGAAAATGAAGAGGTGGCAAGAGACTTACTTGGGCAATCAGACAAACAAATCATCTATCTTCCTGGCTCAGGTCGGCAATGAGCAGAGTCCTGCATTCTGCGCAGCAGCTCAGAGTGGGTTCCGTGCAGCAAATGCTCTCTGGCTCTGAGTGAGAGAAAGAGACAAAGCCCTCATTTCTCTCCGAGCAATAAGTACAGAAGATGAAGCTGTGTCAGTCTCATCCGGAATAATAGAGAGAAATTGCTTCCAATCATCGCTAATGGGGTGCCGGTTTTCTGACAACCGGCTCAGCAATTAGTTTGTCAGTTTTTAACCAAATGCAAAAATAATAATAATCCTTGGAGGCAGACTTTGATCTGCCCCACCACCTTTCACCTGGGGCTCCCAAGGCCGGATGCAACAGCCACTGGCCTCTTCACCTTTGCCACCCCCACTTTTGACCAAGGAATTAATCTACCTCCTACAAAGTCTCTCAGAAAAATCCTCTGGAAAATCTTGGCCATTCACCCTTTCCTCTCCTGGACCCCCTAAACCATCCAAAAAAATACATCTTTCACTACAAGTTGAACCACTTGTCTTCTCTTGGTTATTGCTGTTGTTAGCTCCCGACTCATGGCGACCCCATACACAACAGAATGAAACACTGCTGTCCTGCACCACCCCATGTGATCCATAGGGTTTTCACCGGCTAAATTTTCAGAGGTAGATGACCAGGCCTTTCTTTCTAGTCCATCTTAGTCTGGAAACTCTGCTGAAACCTGTTCAGCATAGTAACAGCACACAAACCTTCACTGACAGACAGGTAGTGGCTGTGCTAGAAGTGCATTGGCCAGGAATCAAACCTGGGTCTCCTGCGTAGAAGGCAAGACTTCTACCACTGAACCACCAATGTCCCCTCCTTGGTTATAACCGAAAACCAAATCAAACTCGTTGCCATTGAGTCGATACTGACTCGTAGCAACCCTATAGGACAGAGTAGAACTGCACCATAGGGTTTCCAAGGAGTGGCTGGTGGATTCAAACTACCAACCTTTTGGTTAACAGCCATAGTTCTTAACTACTGCACCACCAGGGCTCCTCCTTGGTTATAGTCTAGGCTAAATCAAAGATAGACCTTTTAAAATATTTGACCTCTGATCTCCTTATAGGAAATTAATTTCATGATAAAAGGGTTATGACTGCAAGAAAATACCTCCATTTTACTTTCCAGTCCTCTGATTATAACAAAAAGGAAGTGCAGCCGGGTGTAACACTCGGGGAGCTACAACAAGCCCAGATAGGACCTCCGGAGGCAAGCTCATGGGGCCTGGAATGGACAGGGGTGTCGCTAGAGGAGGAGGGTAGCATCCAAATATCTGCCTAAAGCAAACCAGCTGGGGGATAAACTACTGAACTGGCCACAAGGACCTAAGTGAAAAGCTTGGCTGATTCAATTCATGAAATTTCTAGCAAATCCTTCAATGCCTTTGTGCCCCTCTTTCTCCACTGAGAGAGAATAATGCCAGGCCCTATTACCACCTCTCCTCTGAGCACTTGAGAGAAAACACTCCAGGAATTCAAAGCCCAGCAACCATGTTATTAGTATTTCCACTGCAATGGCTGCATTCTTTCTAAGCCTTGGGATGTTTTCCAGTATCCTCTCCAGGGCATCACAATAGTGGATGGCGGATTAAGGCCACAGAGAGCGGTGTTCTGGCTGAGGACACAAGGCTAACTAGCAAATTGCAGGGCACGTTTCCTCCTCATCCTGATACTCAGATGAAAATGATATCCCTTTAGAAAGAAAAGGGGTGTGGTGGGGAAGCAAGAGAAGACCTTGTCTTGGTTTCCTGGGGCTGCCATAAAGAAAGTACCACAAACTGTGTGGCTTTCAAGAACCAGACTGTATCACATTGCTGTTTTGGAGGATGGAAGTCTAAATCAAGGCATCAGCTCTAGGGGACTGTCCTTCCTTATTGGTAGCCTGGGCATTAATTTCATGATCAGGGAGCTGTGGCTGCCAAGAAAATATCTCCAATTTACTTCCCAGTTCTCTAACTCTGACAAGGAAAGAATGCACCCATGACTAACTCTAAAGGAGCTACAACAAACCCAGACAGGACCTTTAGAGGGCAGGCTCCCTGGGCCTGGAAGGGACAAGGAGGGAGCTAGAGGAGAAGGAGGGTAGTATCCAAATACCTGCTTAAAACTATACAAGTCCTCAGCTGCTTGCAGATGTATCTTCACACGGCTTCTGTCTTCTGTCTTCCCCCTGTGTCTGTCTTCCTTTCTTATAGACACCACTCAGAAGTGACTAGGTTTAGGGCACACCCTACTTCTGTATGGCCTCATTAACATATCAAAAGAAAACCCCTATTTCTGAACAGGTACGTATTTACAGAAGGATTAGGATCTCATCATAACTTTTGGAGGAACACAACTCAATCTATACAGCAATCCCTGTTCCCACCACAGTTACCTTTTTACACAGCTTTTCCCTAGTTCTCCTTTCCACATTCAAATGTCCCTTGAATAAAACAAATGCTCATTTTTATCAAGTGCCAGAAGCTGTGACAGGCACCATACAAACATTCTCACATTCTCAGGGGGCCTTCTCTGACCGCTCTTTGAAAACGACCCAAACCATCATTCTGTTTGCCAGTATGCTGTCTGGAATGCAATACAGGTTTAATTACATGCTTGTCCATTTATCTGTCTGAGAACAGGGACTAAGTCTGTTTCATTCCAGCACCTCACATAGTGCTCAGCACATAACAATCAGTGCCGATTGAACGAATTTACTAATTCATTAACTATAATCCTTACAACAACAGTGGAAGCGAGGTATGATTATTCCCATTTTACAGATGACAAGCCTGAGTTTCAGACAGTTGGTAGTGATTTTCCCAAGGTTACGGACCTCCCGGACTTTAACTCTTGTCCCTGGATCATCTGCATCAACACTTCTTCCTCCCATCAGTCAACCACATTCCTCTCACTTTGTAAAAGAAGCTCAAGGTCCACCACATCCTTGAAGCTTTGCCCATTATTTTCTCCACATCAATGACATTTTCAGTGTACTCTCATAGTTACTTACGTAATAGCTTATTGCTGTTAGGTGCCATCGAGTTGGTTCTGACTCATAGCGACCCCATGTACAACATAATAAAATGCTGCCCCATTCCGTGCCATCCTCACAATCCTTGCTACGTTTGAGCCTGTTGTTGCAGCCACTGTGTCAATCCATCTTCCTCTTTTTCGCTGACCCTCTACTTTACCTAGCATGATGTCCTTCTCCAGGGACTGGTCCCTCCTGATAACATGTCCAAAGTAAGTGAGACAAAGTCTCGCCATCTTCACTTCTAAGGAGCATTCTGGCTGTACTTCTTCCAAGACAGATTTGTTCCTTCTTCTGGCAGTCTGTGGTATATTCAATATTCTTCACAAACACCATAATTCAAAGGCGTCAATTCTTCGATCTTCCTTACTCATTGTCCAGCTTTCACATGCCTATGAGGCGATTGAAAATACCATGGTTAGGTCGGACGCATCTTAGTCCTCAAGGTAATATCTTTGCTTTTCAACACTTTAAAGAGGTCTTTTGCAGCAGATTTGCCCAATGCAATATAATGGCTTACATGCAGGCTATTTGTCTACCTTATTTATATAATGATTAGAAAAGAAAGGAAGCTGGAGGGAAGGAGGTCAGGAGGAGAAAATGGAAGTAAATGGATTTCAGAACAGAAGGAGGTATTTGTGCAATGCAGCCTTGAAAGAAAGAAAGAAACCTGGCAGGGACAAACGGTCAAGGTCCAGAGGGGCATCTTGCCTGCCCGGCGGAGGGAGCCGGGGTGTACAGAAGACCAGCAGAGCTGGGGGTGCATTCTGCTTGGTTCTGTTGTGTTCTGCGTGTAGTTACCGTGGGTGGACCTGAAGTGATGCCACCTTGGACATGGAGCAGGGGGATGGAGAGACATTCATGCTCAAGGAGAGCTTTTTTCCCTAAGCTACCTACACAAAGCCCGTAGCACCTGATTAAGGTCTCCCAAACATTTCCTCTGCGGAGCATCCCAATCTCTCAGCCCTTCAAACTTACAAATAGCAAAAGGGGTAAAGGCACCAGACTGTAAAGTCAGAAAGGCAGAAACCGAGTCCGTTCTCTAATGCACACCTGGAATGCTTAGCACGGAGTTTCTCTCTCTACCCTCCTATATGCTTCCCTATGGACCCCTGTTGACTGCCTGCCCATATGCACTTTAGCAGACCACAGCTAAAGCATTCAGACACAGACAAAACGAGTTATTCCCCCACCCCGGCTCTTGTATCTCAAGAAAGCACAATTACTTCTTCAGATCTCTTCACTCCACCCCATTTTGAGGTGCTTAGGTATTTCAAGAGTGAGCACAGAAAGAAGGACTTAAGATGCAAAGCGGAAAATAGCTCTCTGGCTATTCAAGACTGTCATTACAGGGAAGCAAGATTTCAGAAGCATCTGCACATGCTATTGAGTCCAGTCACAAAATAAAGCAAATCCATAATCATTTACAGGTTTAATGCCACCATCATCACCCTAACAAAGGTTGGGCCCATTCCTCAGCCCACGTTATGTGGCACAAAAGAGAGATAAATTTAAAGGATCACCTGTTTACCAGTCCTTTATTTCTATTAGAGGCAGGAGCAGAAGCTGACCCGCACAAGGACCCTTCTGAGCGAGGGATTATATATCACACCGTGGAAATACATAAAAGACAAATTATCCCTGAGATCATTGTGCTTCCACTGACCTGCTCAAGGTTTAAAGGCAGCTGCAATTAGAGGCCATGCTCACAGATCTGCTGGCAGCTTAGAGAGCCCGCATTTACTTTAATCCTGCAGAAAGTAGGCATGTACTTCATCTAAGTTTGAATTCTGTGGGTCTGATTCGGATTTGTGGGCACTTAGTATGTGCTTTTGTTAACACGATCTCTCTCAGCTTCTGCAGTGTTTACAATATGAGATCTAATTTGGGCTTAAAATGCTCATGGAAATTCAATGCATTACTTTTAAAAATGCAGTTGGGAAGAGATGGAGAGGGAAAACGATGTGACACAAATTTACCACATCCGCACATTTGCCGTAGAGTCCTCCCAGCTGCAGGCGGCTGACGAAGCTCATAGAGGCTAACGCTCCAGCCCTTTAGCCAGACCTGACTGTTGGACATGTGGACGTATTAAGAAATCTATTCTACTGCTTTTGTAATTGGAGAAATTGAAATTCTAGGCGGGCTGGGAACGTTCAGGTTTTATTTAACACTTAAGCATATAAGAAAATTTTGTCTTCTGAGTTGTAGTATTCAATTGTGAAACATCATGCCAATAAGTTGTACAATTTTTCAGAAAAAAAGTTTGTCTTCTCTTTTGTGTCTTTTTTAAACTTTAAAATTCAATTGTAAAATACTGTGCAAACAAAATTATACAATCAAAAAAAAAGTTTCTCTTCTGTTTTGTATCTTTTTTAAACTGTAAAATTCACTTGGGAAATATCATTCAAACAAGCCATCCAATTCCCCTCCCACCCTACCCTACCAGGCCAGCCTGCGAGACCCCTGATGCAAAGTTCATGGAACACAGGGAAAATGGTTGCCATTTGAAAAGATTAGCATGGTGCCTTTTTTCTGTAACAATAATAGCTTTCACTTACTGAAAGCTTTCCACAGGCCAGGTACTATTCTAAGCACCATGCATGCACCATCCCACAACAATCTTTATGAGGAGGTTGAAGCACAGAGCGCATAACCTTCCCATGTCACCCAGCTACTCCACGGGAGATCCAAAATTCAAACCCAGCTCATCTAGCCCCAGACATTCCACTCATCACCGCTATGAGATGCTGCCTGCTCTCTAGCAATAAACTGCTTCTTACACAAAAAATTAA